TATGCCTAAAGTCAGACTTGGGTTCATGTATAGGTATGTGTCAGCTGTGCTAGCTATTGGATATATTTAGACTAATTAAGTTCATTGGCAGAACAATTGAATGCGGGGGGAAGGTATGGAGGGCAACCGTGGATGCCAGGGACAATGGGACATAGCAGAGGGTGGGGGATGGGGAATCAAGGATGGCAAAACAAAAGGCAAGGTATGCAGGACATAAGAATTGGAAAATTATTTGCTGAGAACATGTATGTTGATGTGCTTGATTGAGCCAATGCACAGTGTATTTTGGATGGAAAATTCATTTGTGTGTTGTGATGGTGTATAGTGAATTAATGTAGAAAATGAATAAATTTTAAAAATTTTTGAAGGGAAAAAAATGTAATTAATAAAACCCAGTATTGGTGAAAAAAAAAAAAAAAGAAAAAGAAAAAATACACCAGGCATATCTGTGTGCCTAAAATCACAACGGGATGGAGAAATGGAAGAGAAGGGATTGAGGCGTGATCACACCCCACTGGGGGAGGCTTTATCCCTCTCCCTCTCTACCTCTCTCTGGGAAGTGCATGTGCCTTCTAGCACTTAAGTAATGATGATAACAGGAATAATAACAAACTTTGGTTAGGCAAAAATCATCAGCGGGTACCAAATCAAGGTGAGGCGTTTTGATAAGGGGCATAATGCTGTATGTTCTTAGTCTCTCCTGCATTCCGCTTACTGAAGACCGAGGAGAACAAGTAATACACAGGAGAGACGTCAGACAACACCTTGACCAGGCTGTCAGGCCCTCCTGCATACCCCGCTGCAGGAGACTCACCTCCTCCCCTCTGCACCCCCAGGCAGCCTGCCATGAGGCAAGCCACCTGTCACCCTCTTATCCCCTCTTTCTGTGGACAGCGAGCTCTTGGAAACCATGAACTGGAACTTACCTGGCTGCTTGATAAGCGCGCCCTAGAGTGAATAATGGACCGTGTGATTAGTCATCTGATTGAGCAGGAGGCGCCAAGGGGTTGGGCTGAGCCTCTCAGTTTGTTCCTCATTGAGCAACTGACTCACGGGCGGGCAGGGGAAGTCATTTTATGTTTCCTTGCCAGCTATCTGGCACGGGAGAAACGCTGCAGAAATTAATTCTGAATGAGGTCACACTGGGGAAGACAATTTCCTTTCCCAAGAAGGAGGCTGTTTAATTGCTGTCTGTTCATTTCGAGCCAAAGAGCACTATCAGGACAATGTGTCATCGGTCACGTGCCTGCGCCCTGGGAAGGCTCAGAGAGCAGAGGTGGAGTCTGGGGCCAGAGCTGTTCTTCAGCAGCAACTGCCAACTTTTGCAGCTCTGGAATGATGCACCTGACCTCCTTGACTTGCTGAGTCTTTACTAGAAACCCTTAAAACGGACAGTTACTGAAAGGCACGAAGGACAAGGACAAATGGATTTTTATTTTTCACTTAATGGAACCATGCCGACTTCACATAGTTTTATTTTTTTTTTAATTATTTTTATTTATTTATTTTATTTTAACCAGAGAGGGACAGAGCGAGAGCAAGAGAGAAAGTGAGAAAGCAGGACACTAGATTTGGGACTCGAACCACAGCCGGCCATGTGGAAGTACGGTGCCCTTAACCACCACACCACCTGCCAGCCTCACATAGCTTTTATTTTTATTTATTTATTTAGACAGGTTTTTACTAGAGGATGCATGCACTTGCCAGAAAGACAGAGAGAAACAGAGAGACAGAAAGCGAGAAATCACCCCCCTAGGGGGATGGCGATGCCACAATCCCTTCTCCTCCATTCTCCTCTCGGGATCTTGGGCCCACACACACGCGCCCGGCGTGAGTTTTAAGCCACCAGGTCCAGGACTTGAACCGCGGTCGACTACGTGGGAGTCCAGAGACATAGCCATTACGCCAACTGCTGGCCCTTCCTCACATAGTTTTTAAATGACTTCATTATTTTTGTAATGGTGCTGTACCCTAGAGAAGACCATTGCAAGTACTGAGTGAGAACCAGTAGATTTCCTGGTTCCTCTCTCTCAG